TACCAGCGGTCAACTACCTAGTGGTTGGTCTAATTCACTGTTTATAGCTCTACCTAAAAAGACAACAGCAAAAGCCTGTGCTGATTATAGAACCATCAGTTTATTAAACCACTTATTGAAAAGTTTTCTGAAGGTAATACATGGTCGTATCTACAATAAATGTGAGGAATACCTGGATGACACTCAGTTTGGTTTCCGTAACGGGTTTGGAACGCGAAAGGCACTGTTTGGAATGAACGTACTTGCTCAAAGATGTGAATGTGATATATCTGTAGACATATACTGTTGTTTTATTGACTTCCAAAAGGCATTTGATCGTGTTAAGCACTCTATATTGATCGAAGCTCTAAAAGACATTGGCTTGGACGGCAGAGATGTTCGAATAGCCTCTTGTCACCCCTGATTTTTAATGTTTACTCTGAAAGAATTTTCAGAAAAGCACTTTCTGAAAAACAAGAAGGAATACTTGTGAACGGCGAAGTCATCAATAATTTGCGATATGCGGACGATACAGTACTCCTAGCTTCTAGTCAAGAAGATCTGTAAACACTACTTGATAGTGTCGTTGAGAGTTGTAGAGAGGCAGGTCTGGATCTTAACATAAGTAAAACCAAAATACTCGTAATAAGTAAACAACAGCATATACAACCGTCTATATATGTAAATAATACCAAACTTGAGCAAGTTGATAAAATCGTCTACCTTGGACAGCAATTAAATTGTAACGCAGAAAATCACGGCAAAAATAGATCTAGGATAGAGCAGGCTAGAGCTGCTTTTAGAAGGATGTCCAAGGTGTTATGTAACAGAGACCTAAATTGGCATTAAGGATCCGCCTACTTCGCTGCTACGTATTCTCGGTCTTGCTTTATGGTGTCGGGTCCTGAACTGTGAATAAAATCGATCTAAATCGCCTTGAGGCTTTTGAAATGTGGTGCTATAGAAGAATTTTAAAAGTTTCCTGGGTGGAGAAGATTCGTAACTCCACAATACTAGAACGTCTCAGCAAGATTACTGAGATCATACAATTCATCAAGCAGAGAAAGCTGGAGTATTTCGGACATGTCATGAGAGGTCTCAAATATAAGTTGCTACAAAATATCATGCAAGGAAAAATAGCAGACAAACGCAGTCCAGGACGTATCTACAGAAGAACCTTATGGTTGAAGAACTTGCGAGATTGGTATGGTGTTGATACAAGCATGCTATTTAGGGTGGCAGTGAATAAAATTAAAATAGCTATGATGGTAACTAACGTTTTGAAAGGACATGGTACATGAAGAAAGAAGAGAATGTCCAAGAACTAAATAAGATGTTATTAAAATTAATGAAGTTTCGAGAATTGCAGCCTTAAAAAAACTACAGTAAAATAAAAATAATGAGCCAGGATCAGGCAAATGTTGAACATTATGTATACCTGGGCAATGTCATCAAACTGAGAAACCCAAATCAAGAAGCTGAAATGAAAAGCACACAACTGGCATGGTCACTTTTGGTAAACTAGCATATGTCTTGAAAAACACCTTTATTTCTACAAACTTAAAGAAACATGCTTGGAAAATCACTGAGGAAAACATAAGAAACAAAGAGATAATACATAAAACGAACATCAGTGATATCATGAAAGAAATTACAAAAATTAAGTGGTGCTGGGCCATAAGATGACCCCGTTGTGGATACAGAGAATCCTAGAATGGAGACCAAAGAGGACGAAAAGAGATGGATAAATGACATAAGAACAATGGCAGAAAAAAATGGATTAGATTGGGGCAAGATAGAAAAATATTGAAGGAATTGTGAGAGACTTACATTTAGGAGCAGACTGAAAATGGTTGGTGAAGAAAAAGAAAATATGTAAAACAATAAAAAGAATTTTGAAAATTCCATGAGTCTAGTAAATGAAAAATACAATTTTATTTGTTATAAACTAAATGGAAATATTGGCCTGTAAATGAAAATGATGCACAAAAAAAGCAGACACTTTTTGTAAAACATGTATAAAATATAAAAAGGTTAAAGTTTTAATGAAGAAGCTTTCAAAATTTATTGAAGAGCATTTGTCCAGTTTTACATTGGAAATAATTTAACATTTACATTTATGACCTGTACTTAAAAATTGTTTTCTCCTACTTTATATTTTCTATAAGCAACTAATTTTACAGGATCTATCCTAGTACATTCTGGCTTAGTTTTTAGGAAGTTAATAAATTTCTTGTCTCTGCCATTTACACTTCTACACCATATATATTCGCTCCGTGCGTGACTGACGCGACACCAAACGCCTTCATCTGACAATTTTGGAGTCCCAATTTTCAAGTTAAACATATGACATATGTTTGACATTGTTAAATACATGCGAAATTGACAATTATTATTAAATTAGTTTTTTAACTATATTTTTTCAGTTTATGTATAAAATCAATGTAGTATTAGAAACTGGGTTTCTCAAAATTCATCATAATATATCTTTTCATCTCCAAACGGAAAAGAAAGGGAAAAATCTAGTACTGACAAATCAAGTTTTTCATGCAAAAGAGCATATAATTAAAAACAATAATAGTAAAAGTTATGATATAAAAGCTAAAGTCATCTGCAGTTAGCTTGAAGCCTTATGAAATATCATTCAAGGTAAATTATTTAAATTTTTCCTATTTCAATTGCATACAAATGAAATTATGTGATATTTACTTTTTCGTATTAATAGCCCGAATTCATCTTTTTCTTTTCTATAATTTATATGTAATCTTTGGGAACCTATAAAAACTACACTCACTATTTTTGCTATTATTAGCACAATTAAATACGCAACATGTATTTGCACACATTTTTGATAAAATTTATGCGTAAAAATATTTTGTCCAATATTCCAATTTTGTCATATTTCGCCGCTACGCACGCTGGCATCGTTTCAATGTATCCCTACCATGGTCACGCACGGAGCGAATAGAGAAAGTCTTACAATAAATTTACATATATTTATTCCAGTATCTGAATGAGATTTACAGTTGATTGTTGAAAAATTTTAAAAACTCTTTATTTAATATGAAGTGTAAAGGTTGTAAATGACAGACCCTTGGAATTAAGTAAAACAATTTAGCAAGGGCCTCAGATACAATTTATGTTAAAAAATTCCCAGGCACTGTTAAATTTGACATATTATATTTCCTGGCTTCAGTAAATTCTGTATCCCCTTCTTTTTCTCTAAATAACATATTGTATTTACATAACTCACATGAAACCTTCTTCAATACATTTTTCGCTACATATCCTGCAACATAGGTTACAGTACACCTTCCCACCCTAGTTCGTTTAACATTTGAAACTGACAGAGGAAGTGAAATATTCACTTCAGATACCAGAGGTGTACAACCTGGTAATACCTCACCTGTTAAAAAAAGCGTAAGGTATCTAATGCTCCCTCACTAAGATCATTCTCACAATTGCTTTCAGGTAAATGAAAGGACATAAAATTATTTATAATCAAAGCTTTGAAGGTGGTTATAGCATCTGACACACTAACTGAACTCTATAACTTCTAATTAGACCAAAAAAATTTTCTAATGTATCTTGCTGAAATGCTCGTAACAGCAAGTAATTATTACTGTTTTTTAATATTCTTGTCTTTAAATATATGAATCAACGAATGGTAAAAATCAAATTTTTTAATGAAGGTACAGACACAAATTTCTGTTTCCTTCTATCAAAAAATTTTAGTTTATTTAAAGAACTGAAAGAGCTTTTCCAGAATCTTTGGATGTCAATGTAACACCACCTTTCAAAGGTTTGCTTATAGGAGCAGTTTTCTGACTGGAATTTAACGAATCAAAAAGTTCATCTAAAAATAAAATCATACGGCCTGTATCTTCCACTTCACTAGCCAGGTTTACTTCAGCTTCTGAAGTGAAATGTATAAATAGATAAATACATAAAAATAATATCATAATACTTACTTCACTTTACAATTTTCGCCATCAAACTTCCAACTTGGTGACTGAACACTTGAATGCAGTTCTTCACCTTTATCTTTTTGATTTTACAACTTAATACATGCTCATCTGTCAATTTTTGGGCAAATTCGTATGGGTTCTAAAGCATCCAGATGATAAAACTGCTCTATGTGGTCCCATTTAGCTATACCTTTCTGTCCATTAAGTCCAAAGTGTAAATCTTTATTTAGAAGATTATTTCTCAAGCCTTTGAATAAGTGGGGTGTATCAAAAAGAGGAACAATTTCTTTGCAATTAACAAGGAATCCAAAATATGTATATTCCTTTCCTAATCTCAAAAGAGTCCTGAATTAATGCGTTAACTGCTGCAGTATTTGGGCCTCCTTGATCACACACTGTGGCTACAACTGTTAAACCAATATTCTGCAATTCATTCATTATATTAATAATCATTTTTTTAATATTCGACTTTTGGTGGCCCCATCGCTAAACGTATAGCATATTAGTAGCTTCCACTGTCTATATATCCCTTTGATCATGAAAACATTTATATAGTTTGCAAAATTTTAATATCTTTCAAGACCGTAATCTTCTAACCCCTCAATTTTGTCTTCTTTTTGGTTATATTGAAGATTTGTAGACAAAAACCCTTCATCAAACATTAATATACAGTTGCGGTCCTTTGGGGTTATTTTTTTGACACTGTTACATAAGATTTTAAATAGTATTTCATTAATTTCAGGATGTAAATTAATTTTATTCAATAGGTTGGTCAAAGTTCTTTTTAATGGTAAAGAAAAAATTTTTGACAGCAATTTACATCCTTTCCCACTGCCTTTAAATAGCGTTAGGGCCAGGACCTTTTCATCTATTGTGAATTTTCTTCCCTTCAGTTTTTGGTGATTTGGGATTTGGGATAGTATAAATGTGTGTGTCAAAGGATTGACTTGTTTCGCCAGTTTTCTAAATGGTGAAGGTTTTGATAAATATTTAGCTGGGTCTAACTTTGCTTGATAACTTGATATTCTATGTGACAACTTATGAATTTTGTTACTAGTTTCTATGATTGTGGCATACATTTTCTTTTTTTTGGGTCAAGTACTGCTTTCTTGACACATTTATACTGTGTAAAATACTTCTCCTTGGCCCTCTGGCTTGGCTAGGTGTGTGAAAATCTGGAATAAAGGATTAATTAATATGATAATGTAATAACATTACAATTAAAAATGTAAAACATTTGTATATATTACCATGTATGTCAAATAATTTTCTTTTAGGAGTTTCTTCAGTCTCTGTTTCACTCTGAAAATCTGAAATTTAAGAATAATTATAATTTACAAAACATAATTAATAAACCTATTAATAGTATTTAATAGTACAATAGTAAATATCTTACTACTAGTATTTCTGCTATCTTGTTCAGGACGCAAAGCATAATCTAAATAAATAATGGAATACCATTAGAATAAAGAATGTAAGGCGTATTTTTATATATTACCATGGTCAACAAACCTCTTTTTAGCTGGAGTTTCTTCAATCTCTGATTCATCATGACAATCTGAAATTAAATACAATTATATGTTTACAAAACATAACTAATAAAATAAATCTATTGATTATTTAGTTACTTAAACAAAAGTACAAGCTGAATATAGCAGAAAATATCAAAAAAATATTTTGGTTTGGCATATGTTTTTATAATGTATAATATGTTGTATGCTTTAAATATAAAGAGAGGAAGCTTTATAAAAGTTCATTTTGATGATATTATGTTATTAATTCTGCAATTTTTAATTTTTGTAAAATAAAAACTAGTAAATACTTGTTTCTTTGCTCTGTCATAGATTTGGCAATCATCAAACCACCAGTTGCCAGATTGCAACATGTTTGCAATTAATCTTGAAAGAGACAAATATTTACTTTTATTATTTTTCATAAATTAAAAATTGCAGAATTCATAACATAATATAATCAAAATGTACTTTTTAAAAGCTTTCTATTTTTATATTTAAAGCATACAGCTGAAATATTTTTCCATGGTTTACATTTGCTGCTATATGCAGCTTGAACTTTCATTAATCACATTTCTAGAATAATGAGTTTCTTACCACTAGCCTTTCTGCTATTTTGATCTCTATTATCAGATATTAAGTTGTCTTGCTGGGATGTAGAAGGTCTAGCATAATCTAAATAATATAATATTGTAATTAATATTACAGACAATAAGACATTTTTTTATATATTACCATGCATGTGAATAGACTGAGTTTCTTCAATATCTCCTTTATCTTGACCATCTGAAATTTAAATACAATATAACAAGTTTTACAAAACAACTAATATTGAAATAATGCTGCAACATTACATATTGTAACTAAAAGAATTCTATCAGGTTTGTTGCAAAAAGTGCCAATATTACTCATATATGACTTGAGGAAGTACATACTCATTTGTGGTATAGTACAGAACAATCATTGATGATATAGCATTTTCTGTAGGTCTTCAACTTTTTACATATCGAAGTATTGGAGATAATGAGATAGTCCTGAAGCTTCTTGATATTGAGTAAAATAATTTGATGATATTGTTGTGAGGCTAGATGTGACCTTATATTTAAGAAGTACTATTTATATACCTCCTCAAGCCATATATATATATATATATATATATATATATATATATATATATAAACAAAATATTTGCTAGGAGGTACAGTTTAGTTACATGTCTAGAGCAAACACGAAAATTGTTGTAAACAGTAAGTGGTGTAGCATTGTTTAATCTTTTTTCTTAATAACTTTTAACCATTTCAAAAACATGTCCATTTCATTATTCGGATTTGGAAAACGAAATAGACTGCTTGTGAAGTCTTTACAACCAGGAACACAACATTTTTTACCTTTTATTTTATTTTGTTTCATTTCAAAGATGGTAAAACACTATTGTCTCTATTATTTTTACAATTTAAGATGATAAAAACACAAACAAAACTCAATTTGCAATGGCGTCCCAATGTAAATAAAACTCCGCCACCACACATGCGTTTCCCGCTATGTTATACCTCCACCTAAAGTGACTAGTAGCGCCGTCGCCATTAAGAACGGATGGGCCCATGCAAAACACTATCCCCACCCGTCCTATTCTACTTACACTACTATTGGGTATGTATTGTGATTCAGAGCAACAAAACTGATATACGATTGAACACAAAACACCGTTTCTACACGTTGACGCATCTATAACTTACGCAATTTACATTGAAGCGCCAATACATCCGGTTTTCACATGACACTGGTCTGTAGAAACACAAACCGTGTGTCACTTAAATTTTTCCTGGAATTCATTACACGGCTTTTAGAAAAAAAATTTAATAAATAGCTTAACAAACTCATGGTTCTATAATCAGCACAGGTTTTTTCTGTTCTCTTCTTAGGTAGAGCTATGAAGAATGAATTTCATCAACTATTAAGTAAGTGTCCGATGGTATAAATCGTATTGAAAACGAAGTTTTAGCCATTAAAAGTTATCGGATGTTAGAAAAATCCCGTAAAGTTTTAAAGAGTCGGTAAACCAAATAATAATTAACGTTATACTCCCATGATAAAAGTGGAAATGTTAATGTCGTTAATGTCTTCTGAACAGTATACTAGAAATATCCTTTATAACAAATATACATTTTGAATAACAAGTCGACTAAAACTTATGTAAAAATTATGTAAAAATGTTTTAAAACACTAACACCACACCACAACAGGGCAAATCACCTATACAGAGTCCCGAAAATTCACAAAGAAAATATATCTATCAGACCAATTTTCGCAGCATCAGTAGTTCTTCTTGCAGCAGACTGACGAAGTCCGTCCTAGACATAGTACGTAGTGCCTTTAGTACACCACACAATAACATTTAATAAAAACTTACAACAATTTTTGCAAGATCCGCAGAAATATATTACAATTCCAGCAATATGCTAGTCAGTTCCGATATTACCAGTCTTCTCACCAATGTCCACTGCAGAAAAATATAAAAATTTAAGAGTCAAAAGAGTGTAGAGAACCAGATCTAACCAAACCACTATTCAAGATAATCCAAAAAATAGTAGTAAGTAAAAAGAAGTACTTAAGAATAGAGATCAAGGATCCCAATACCTCTCTTCAAAAAGTGTGACAAATTGGACCTGGAGAACTACAGATAAATTATTTTATTAAACACAAACTATAATTGACAATAAGAGTGATAACAAATCAACTTAATAAAATTATAACACTACCAGAAATCATTAGAATACAATAATCCGGCACATTTGTGGACCTTAAGAAAGCATATGTCGGGATTAAATTAAACGATGTTATCTCTAATAAACCTCTATAAAGAAAAAATTAAAGTATAAGAAGAACTAACTGGCACAATTAAAGCTTTCAATGAAATATTACAGGGAGATTTCGTGAGTCCTCTATTATTTAACCTGATCATATATGAAACATTAAAAATGTAAGAAATAAAAAAGAGTATCAAATGGGAGAAAAACAACTCAAGATAACCAATGCTATGCAAAGAATGCAATATTACTCTCTCAAAGTGAAGATGATTTACAACGTATGCTGCACAAATTTAATATAAACGCCAAAAAATGTAATGTTAATTTTCCCAATAAAGACAAAATACACGGTTATAAGAGCAAATCTTCGTTACGAAGAGGACCAACGAGGTCAATCATCGTTACGGTGTTGCTATCTTAGTTGCAAAAAAGGTCAATAACTCTGTGGTAAGTTTTACTCCATATTCTGACAGGATCTTATCAATACAACTACAGTCTAAAAAAGGTATAGTAAATTTTATTCAAGTTTATGCTCCTACGGCAGATAAAGATGACGACGATATCGAACTGTTTTACCATGATTTGGAACAAGTCTTAAAATCAATGAAAAAACATCACACTACAATAGTAATGGGCGACTTCAATGCCAAAGTTGGCCAGGGAAGAGTGGACGGATATGTGGGGCAATATGGTCTAGGAAATAGAAATGAACGTGGTGACCGTTTGATACAATTTTGCCAGACGGAAGAATTTGTAATAGCTAATACACTTTTTAAGCTACCAAAAAGAAGGTTGTATACATGGAAATCTCCCGGTGATACAACGAATAGAATAATCCGAAATCAAATTGACTTTGTCCTTATTAGACAAAGATTTCGTAATTCTATACTGTCTGCCAAAACTTACCCTGGAGCAGACATCGGTTCAGACCATAACCCCATAGTAGTCACATTACGAACCAAATTAAAACTGGTTAAAAAACCCACACAAAGTAGAATTGATATTAAGAGATTAAGGGAACCACAAACAAAGGAACAAACTGTAAAAACTCTTACTGAAAATATACGTAATGCCCAAGAACTGAATAAAAGTAGCTATAACATTGATCAGAAATGGGAAAATATAAAAGCAGCAATAATTAAAACAGCAAATGAAAACTTAAAACCAAAGAATAGAAAACATAAAGATTGGATGACTGAAGAAATACTACTATTAATGAATGAAAGAAAATCATTCAAAACAAAAAATCCAATTAAATATAATGAAACTGATCGATTAATAAAAAAGAGAATAAAAGAAGCTAAGGAGAGAATGTTACATGAGCAGTGCCAAGAACTAGAAGAAATTGAGAAAAAATATGACTTTTTTAACATGCATAAAAGAATTAGAGAATTAACAGGAATGAGAAAACCACTTCAAACAAGGCAACTAAGAGATGAAAGGGGTGCAGTTATAACAGATATAAACCAAAAAATGCAGAGATGGACACAATATATAGCACAACTATTTGAAGACAAAGAGAGAACAGAAGCACCAAAAGAATTTAAGGATGATACTGGGCCTGACATTATACGAGAAGAAATTGAATATGCAATAAAACAAGCTAAAGATGGTAAATCTCCCGGGCCTGATGAAGTTCCTATCGAATTACTTAAAATTGTGAATACTGAATCTATTGATCTTCTTCTGGATCTATTCAATACCATATATAGAACAGGTATAATACCTAAAGAATGGCTCCAATCAACATTCATACTGCTTCCCAAAAAAGCCAATGCAAAGGAGTGCAATGAACATCGCACCATAGCCTTAATGAGTCATGTCTTAAAATTGTTTTTAAAAGTAATTCACAATAGAATACATAAGAAATTAGATGAAGGCATAAGTAATACACAAATGGGATTTAGGAAAGGACTGGGAACACGAGATGCACTGTTTGCAGTAAGTGTTCTTTCGCAGAGATGCTTAGATATTAATCAGGAAGTATATGCCTGTTTCATTGATTTTGAGAAGGCATTTGACAGAGTGCAGCATAATCGACTTAAAGAAATTTTATTAAATAAAAACATAGACAGTAGAGACATCAGAATCATCTGTAACCTCTATTGGAATCAAACAGCAAAAGTGAAAGTTGAAAACGAACTGACCAAGGATATCCAGATTTGCCGTGGGGTCCGCCAAGGGTGTATTTTATCACCCTTGTTATTCAATTTATACAGTGAAGCCATCTCAGAATTAGC